CAGTGAGTTTACCGAGTGCAGTCATGGTTCATGTAACCTGAATGAGCATAGAGCTGTGTTGGACAGATTCTATGAAAATATTGTACAAATATTGAGCAGCGCGGCCAAGGAGACTTGTGGAGAGCGCTGCTGTAAATATGATCAGAGAAAACATCTATGAGGCTGGAATAAGCATGTTCGTGCAGCTCATGCGGAGGCCAGGCTTAAGTTCAAAGTTTAGGTTCTATATAATCGACCTACCTTGGGCATTTTTTACGAAGAAATGTACGCCTAATTTTAAAAGTCGCCTGAAATGGTGCCAGAATAATCAGGAACAATTAAAAATGGATGTTTTGGCTAAACGTAGATCAGCTAAAAATTTTCACAAATTTTGGCAAGCTACGGGAAGGCAAGAGGTTAGGCCTGGTCTCCCAGTGAGTGTGGGTGGAATAATGACCCTACGGATATAGCTAACACGATTAGAGATCATTTCAGGGTGTGCTCGCCACTTGGCTCCTCGACCGCGTCTAGTAATTCTATGCCCGGTTGCTTAGGGGGTGAACCGCCAGTACATATCACTCCAAAGCAAATTAGACATATATTAAAGAAGATGACTGGTGGAAAATCTCCAGGGCACGACGGACACAGTGTTGAACACCTGAGACATACGGGGGGTTTACTTGCCGAGGGTACTCTCTATGTTTTTTACACTATTCATAAGTCATTCACACTTGCCACATGACCTAATGAAAACCGTAGTGGTGCCAATTGTGAAGAACAGGACAGGAGATGTCTCGGACATGGGGAACTACCGCCCCATCTCACTAGCAATAACCATTGCTAAGGTACTGGACGGCCTGCTCGACTCTTGCTTGCAAAGTCATTTAAATGTCCACGACGCCCAGTTCGGGTTTCGATCCGGACTATCTACGGAAAGCGCCATCTTAAGTGTCAAGCATAACCGTCCGTTATTACACTGATCGCGGGACCCCGGTGTATGCCTGTTTCCTCGACCTTGTGTCATATGACTTGCTTTGGAGGAAGCTTGGTGATAGGGGTGTACCGGTTGGAGTTCTAAATATATTAAAGTATTGGTATGCCAATCAGACCAACCTTGTAAGATGGGCAGACTCTTTTTCGGAATCGTATGTGTTTGAGTGCGGAGTGAGACAGGGGGGGATTGACGTCTCCTGGATTCTTAAACGTATATGTAAACGATCTCATCGTGAGGCTGAGTAACATGCGTGTTGGGTATCGGATTGATGGCGTCAGTATAAACAGCATAAGCTACGCAGACGACATGGTGCTGCTTAACCCCACGGTGGGTGGTCTGAGGGAGATGCTGAATGTCTGTGAGACGTATGCTGCTGGGCGCGGGCTTACATACAATGTAAAAAAGACGGAATACATGATCTTTGGGGCTGCTGGTAAATGTCCCAATAATACAACAAGTGTCACCCTTAATGGTGTGAACATCAGACGTGTGACCGAGTTTAAACGTCTGGGGCATGTTATCACTGGCAGCCTCGAAGACAATGATGATATTGAAAGGGAGCGAAGGGCTCTCGCGGCTAGAGGTAACATGTTGACTCGCAGATTTTCTCGCTGTACAGAAGAGGTTAAAGTGACGCTATTTAAGGCATACTGCCAAAGCATGTACACGGAAAATCTGTGGGTCAAACATACCAAGAAATCGCTAGACACTCTTCGAATCCAGTATAACAATGTCTTCAGGATGATGTTGGGCCTGCCGCGGTTTTGCAGTGCATCGGGAATGTTTGCGGAATACCAAACTGATGGCTTCTATGCCATCATCAAAAACGAACTCCCTGATTAGCAGAGTGAGGAATAGTTCCAATAGCATCCTGAAGACATTAGCAAACCGATTTATTTCTCCGATTTGGAAATTCTTTAGGCAAAGAGTGACAATCACGGGAACATATCCTTTCCCCCTGATGGTCTCATAGTAACAAATATAACTGTAGGTAATTAATTTAAACCAACAACAGAGCTGGTGCGGCTTGTGAAGCGGCAGAAAAGGCTAAAGTTTGCAAATACAGGGGTCTAGGCTCCGAATATATTTTTGTCCCTTTCGGTGTCGAGACCCTTGGTCCGTGGGGTCCTAGCGCTATAAGCCTTTTTAAGGAAATAGCAAAAAGGTTAATCGACGTCACAGGAGACCGAAGAGCTGGCAGTTACCTCGGACAAAGAATTAGTCTAACTATTCAACGGGGAAACGCTGCCAGTATCTTCGGAACCTTGCCTAAAGGACCTCTTTTTTAATAATTTAATTTAGTTATTATAATATATATTTTTAAGATTTTTAGTATTAGTATTGATTGTAAATATTATAATTTAATTTCATTAATTATACTTATATTTGTTTCTTCATATTTAATATTATGTTTCACATTTGTAATTTATATATTAAGTAATTATATTAAGTTGATAATTAATTTATTATTAATATTGTAATGCGTATAATTTTCCATCCCAATTAATAAAATACTGAAATAGTTTGTAAGCCATTTTTACTAACACAATATGGATGTATAAATATATAATTATAAATTAAAATGAAAAGATAAATGTACATAAATATCAATAAAATAAAATAAAATAAATACAAAAGTACATAAATAAATAAAAGCCCAACCAGATGGGAGCCCTCGGCAGGGGAGACCAAACGGCCAAGGGAAAGAGAACCGGCGGACGATGCGGGCGGTATAGAGGAGCACCGCCTTCTGCATTTGAGCCCGGAGCGGTCCGTCACGGAGTCCCAGTCGCCTCAGATGATCAGAGAGGCTAACTGGGATTAGCCCTTTCGCAGAGAAGACTACAGGAATAATTTCGGTCGGCATACCACCCCACATGTCGGTCACCTCGTAAGCCAGGTCAAGATACTTTGATTGCTTATCTGTTTCGGCCTTCACGAGGTTCTCGTCATACGGGATGGTAATATCGACCAAAAAATATCCTTCACTGTGCCCGGTCCATCAGCACAATATCAGGCTTATTCGCAAGAATAGTCCTGTCTGTGATGATGGCCCGGTCCCAGTAGAGCCTGGCGCGGTCATTTTCGAGCACGGTTTCCGGCAAGTACTTGTAATACGGCAATTTCCGGTCCACGAGACCGTATTTCAGAGCGAGCTCCTGGTGTAGAATTCTGGCTACTAGGTTGTGCCTGTGCAAGTACTCAGAGTTAGAAAGCGCCGAACAACCGGAGATGACATGCCTAAGAGACTCACAGGGATGGCGACAAGCTCGACAGACGTCGACGGTGCCATCCTTTAGGATGTATCTCCGATAGTTGTTGGTCTTAATAACCTGATCCTGTATTGCACAGACAAAACCCTCGGTTTCCCGGAAGAGGTCACCGAAACGCAGCCAGTTGAGGGAGGCGGCTGTATCTACGAAGGGCTCATGTAGAGCCCTGTAGTACCACCCGTGGAGCTCTTTCTCCTTCCACACGGTCTCCCGGTCGGAAATGCTAAGCACTGCCGGGTCCTGCCATTGCTCGTTGGCTAAGGATAGAGGGGTAAGCCCTTTAATATGACGTCATTATAGAATGGATCATCCGATCTCGCCAGGAAGTAATGACGGAGGCTGCACACTTCACGATTATGCATGGTGAGCGCGCTCAGAAAGCCACGCCCACCATGCTTTCGCGGCAAGTACAGCCTCATTACCGACGATCTCGGATGATGCATCCTATGGGACGTCATGGTAGTGTGGACTTTTCTATCCAGGGCGTTAAGTTCAGTCTGACTCCACCTGAGTATGCCAAAGGTATACATAAGGACAGGTATGACCCAACCATTATATGCGTGTGTCTTATTCACACCGGACAAAAGGCTATTAAGCACTTTGGTCAAGCGTGCATAAAACACGTCGCAAACTGACTGTTTCATACCAGCCTCATCGATACCGATGTTCTGTGACATACCCAGGTATCGGTATGTTTCAGCCTCGTAAAGGGTCTTTAAGTTGACGGGCATAGATAAATCTATGCCCTCAGAGTTAGCAACCCTTCCCCTTTCAACATGGAGGACCGCACACTTATCCATCCCCAGCTCCATTCCAATGGAATTGCTAAATTCACAAGTGATTTTTAGCAATTCCATAAGATGGGAGCGACTGGAGGCGAATAACTTGAGGTCATCCATATAGAAAAGGTGGTTCACTTTTGTCCCTCCTTTCCGTAGGTGAAATCCTCTCCCGGATCCCTCCAGTAAGGTACTGAGAGGGTTCAGGGAGAGACAGAACCAGATTGGACTCAGACAATCGCTCTGGAAGATACCCCTTCTTATCCTTATGTGGTTATCCGCAGCCACCATCCGCTCACCCAGATGACAAAGGATCGTACTCCACTGCCCCATACACTGCTCGAGGAAGTCTCGCACTGTACAGTCTATCTTGTACAGCTCGAGGACTCTCTTTAGCCATGTATGGGGCACCGAATCGAATGCCTTTCTGTAGTCTATCCAGGCGGCGGAGAAGTTCCGACGGTTGCATTTCACCACTTTGCCAATGACCGCGTCAATGAGGGGTAATTCCTTAGTTCCACGACCACCGCCCCGACATCCATTTTGAGCGCGCGACATCACCTGATTTAAGTCCAGGTGACGAGCGATTCTTGCGCTCAAAATGGATGTTAGTGTCTTGTATATGGTCGGTAGACACGTGATGGGGCGGTATTTGCTCGGGTCTGTGGCACCCTGATCTTTAGGAACCAAATGAGTGATCCCGGTAGTGAAGAGGCTTGGGAGCGACTTCTGGTTGAGAGCCTCTTGAAAATGTCGGGCGAGCACAGAGTGACACACCATGAATCCCTTCAGCCAGTAGTGATGCAGCCCGTCAAGCCCCGGACTTTTCCAGTTCGGGGCCCTACGGACCGTCTCAGCTACGTCATCCGGCGTTATGATGACGGGGTCCATGGGCGTAATACTCGCACACTGACTCGCCACAACTTCCGTCCAAGGGCGCTCGTTGTGGTTTACGGGCTCTGACCACAGGCTGCGCTAGAATGCGACCATATCGGCCTGATTCGGTGCTGGACCCGTTCCACTTACCATTGGTCGCTCCAATGATTTATAGAGCCTCTTCTGATCACTCTGGAAGAGACGATTCTGGTTAAACCGTGTCGACCTCTCGGTATATCGCCGAATCCGCTTTCCCCAAGCAGCTATTCTTTGCTTCAGGTCGTCTATGCGCTCCGTCAGTTTTTGCATTATATCCGGCTGGGACAAATTAACATTTGTCCCAGCAAACGCCATCCTGACGGTGCGCACAATCCTTGGCCTGGTATTGCCTGACCTGAAGCATATCAGTCTGCCGATGAGGGCCCTAGCCTTTGCGATACGTTCTTCAATTCTTATTCTCCAGGCTGGGATAGCACTACTTTGTCCAGTAGCGCGTCCAGCCGTGGAAAGTTTGGCACCTATAATACGGCAGACTGCCAGTGCGGCGCCAAGAAGAATTGAGTCCGTATCGCAAAGGTCCCGGCTGGCTTCCAAATAGGTAACCAGCATTGGGTTCAGAGCCCTCACGACAGCCCGATTCCCCTTGCTTAGGGCTAAGCGGGGAAGTCGCGGTCGATTTTCGAGAGTCGTACTGCGCGTTTCCACAATCGCCTCTTCCAATGTACTCCTCATTTGCTCTAGATCCAGTTCCTGGGCGACTGTTCCATCATCGTTTGAATCAACCACAACTGGCGTATTCACGGCGGCATCCACATTTGCCGTTTGCTCAGCAAGTTGTGGCGCCGCATCCTCAGCCGCAGCATTTTCACCCGATGAAGGAACAGCCTCACGTCGTAGCCGTTCGAGTTCTGTGACATCAAATGTATTTGAGCGCAAGATATACCGAACTCGGTCTGCCAGGTTTTGCTCGGTGACGGTTACAGATGGCTCCAGCTCAGCAAAAAGTCGATGCATCCTTGCCCGATACGCAAAACCTCCAGTTTCTCCCCCTTTCGCCCTAAAATCGCCCTGCGTTGCTGTTCATCTGGGTTGTCCAACGCATGCGGGTACTCCACAGTGGCGGTGCCGATTGCTGAGCCCGCGAAGACCCTGCCGACACCAAGCCAGCTGGTGGGGATGATGGATGCGAGGATCTGCTGGGTGGTCGTGCAGCACCTCGCGCTCGGCTGGCGGTTCGCATGCTGTCGCGTCCAGCGCCACCTCCAGACGCGCCCTGGCGATCTCCAGGCAGCGGCCCTTCGCGCGTTCCATTTGATTCCATCATCAATTTTAGGGCGTCATTTAGCGGGGAGACGCCCAGACCCGGCGCCGTTTCATGGTTAGGCCATGTGCACAAGCGGGCCTTGGCACCTTCAAATTTTGCCGAGGCACGGCACTAACACCTCTTGGCAAGGTGCTGACTGACTGCGCCGACGTAGCGGTTTTGTCACATAACCGTTATATCAGCGGGCGATGGGGTCGTCATTTCCCTACGCCTTTTTATTATTATTATTATTATTGTGGGGTATCTATATAGTTTTCTCATCTGGTTGGGTTCTATAAATATATAATTATAAATGAAAATGAAAAGATAAATATACATAAATATCAATAACATAAAATAAATATAAAAGTACATAAATAAGTAAAAGCCCAACCAGATGGAGGCCCTCGGCAGGGGAGACCAAACGGCCGAGGGTTAGGGGGAAAGGGAAAGAAACCGGCGGACGATGCGGGCGGTATCGAGGAGCACCGCCTTCTGCATTTGAACCTGGAGCGGTCCGCCACGTAGTCCCAGCCGCCTCAGATGACCCGAGAGGCTGACTGGGATTAGCCCGTTTGCAGAGACGACTACAGGAACAATTTCGGTCGGCAGACCACCCCACATGTCGGTCACCTCGTGAGCCAGGTCCAGATATTTTGTTTGCTTGTCTGTTTCGGCTTTCACGAGGTTCTCGTCATACGGAATGGTAATGTCGACCAAAAATATCCTTGACTGTGCCCGGTCCATCAGCACAATATCAGGCTTATTCGCAAGAATAGTCCTGTCTGTGATGATGGCCCGGTCCCAATAGAGCCTGGCGCGATCATTTTCGAGCACTGCTTCCGGCAAGTACTTGTAGTACGGCAATTTCCGGTCCACGAGACCGTATTTCAGAGCGAGCTCCTGGTGTAGAATTCTGGCTACTAGGTTGTGCCTGTGCAAGTACTCAGAGTTAGAAAGCGCCGAACAACCGGAGATAACATGCCTAAGTGACTCACCGGGATGGCGACAAGCTCGACAGATGTCGACGTTGCCATCCTTTAGGATGTATCTCCGATAGTTGTTGGTCTTAATAACCTGATCCTGTATTGCACAGACAAAACCCTCGGTTTCCCCGAAGAGATCACCAAAGCGTAGCCAGTGGAGGGAGGCTACTGTGTCTACGAAAGGCTCATGTAGAGCCTTGTAAAACCTCCCGTGGAGCTCCTTCTCCTTCCATACGGTCTCTCGGTCGGAAATGCTCTGCACTGCCGGGTCTTGCCATTGCTCGTTGGCTAAGGATAGAGGGGTAAGTCCTTTATCACAAGAAATGACGTCCTTATATACCCAGGTATCGGTATGTTTCAGCCTCGGAAAGGGTCCTTAAGTTGACGGGCATAGATAAATGTATGCCCTCAGAGTTAGCAACCCTTCCCCTCTCAACATGGAGGACCGCACACTTATCCGTCCCCAGCTCCATTCCAATGGAACTGCTAAACTCACAAGTTATTTTTAGCAATTCCACAAGATGGGAGCGACTGGAGGCGAATAACTTAAGGTCATCCATATAGAAAAAGGTGGGTCACTTTTGTCCCTCCTTTCCGTAGCTGAAATCCTCTCCCGGATCCCTCCAGTAAGGTACTGAGAGGGTTCAGGGAGAGGCAGAACCAGATTGGACTCAGACAATCGCCCTGGAAGATACCCCTTCTTATCCTTATGTGGTTCTCCGCAGCCATCATCCGCTCACCCAGATGGCAAAGGATCGTACTCCACTACCCCATACACTGCTCGAGGAAGTCTCTCACTGTACAGTCTATCTTGTACAGCTCGAGGACTCTCTTTAGCTATGTATGGGGCACCGAATCGAATGCCTTTCTGTAGTCTATCCAGGCGGCGGAGAAGTTCCGACGGTTGCGTTTCACCACTTTTCCAATGACCGCGTCAATGAGGAGTGGTTCCTTAGTTCCACGACCACCGCCCCGACATCCATTTTGAGCGCGTGACATCACCTGATTTAGCTCCAGGTGACGAGTGATTCTCGCGCTCAAAATGGATGTTATTATTTTTATTATTATAGTATTCTATGGTCTTCCCCATAAATTGCTTCATATAGGAAATTTGCCATATCTGCGCTTGATAGATGGGATGGGAAACGCAGTTTTTTACACACAGTTATCAGGTAGAGATGGACATATCCTGGTTTAGTTTTTCTCTGTTGTCACTTAAAACACTTATTTAACATTAATTTAATGTACGCAAGCATATTGTGTATGTGAGTATGACTGCCTCGTTGGTCTATTGGTTGTAGTAGTGCGACTGCTGATCATGAGGTCTTGGGTTCGAATCCCGGGTTGGGTCAAAAATTTATTACTGAGTTTTTCCGTCAAGAAATTCTCAGTAGTTGTCCGGAGTCAGCAAGTTGGCGGTGTCTCACCCCCATGCCTCGAAAAGCACGTAAAGCCGTTGGTCCTGCGCCGGATCTCTCTCCGGTCGTGTCGGTTTACCGTCCCATCGGATTATGAGAGTGAGGGAATAGAGAATGCACCTGTGCTTGCGCATACACTTGGGCACTATAATCCTATCTTGCGCTATCAATGGCTAGTCTCCGTTGAGGCAGGCCGCCGTGGCCGAAATTCGGTCTGGAGGACATTATTATTATATGTGGGGTATCTATATAGTTTTCTCATCTGGTTGCGTTCTATAAATATATAATTATAAATTAAAATGAAAAGATAAATATACATAAATATCAATAAAATAAAATAAATACAAAAATACATAAATAAATAAAAGCCCAACCAGATGCAAGCCCTCGGCAGGGGAGACCAAACGGCTGAGGGTTAGGAGAAAAGGGAAAGAAACCGGCGGACGATGCGAGCGGTTTTGAGGAGCACCGCCTTCTGAATTTGAGCCCGGAGCGGTCCCTCACGGAGTCCCAGTCGCCTCAGATGACCCGAGAGGCTGATTGGGATTAGCCTATTCGCAGAGACGACTGCAGGTTAATTTCGGCCGGCATACCACCACACATTTCGGTCACCTTGTGAGCCAGGTCCAGATATTTTGTTCGTTTATCTGTTTCAGCTTTCACGGGGTTCTCGTCGTACGGAATGGTAATGTCGACCAAAAATATCCTTGACTGTGCCCGGTCCATCAGCACAATATCGGGCTTATTCGCAAGAATAGTCCTGTCCGTGATGATGGCCCGGTCCCAGTAGAGCTGGCGCGTTCTTTTTCGAGCACGGCTTCCGGCAAGTACTTGTAATACGGCAATTTCCGGTACACGAGACCGTTTTACAGAGCGAGCACCTCCGTATCCGTATCGGGACGTTTGCCGCGTAATGCGTTCACGAAATATAGTAATCTTAATCACGTTTGATAATAAAAAATGTTAGTGATTAATTTGTGTCAGTACATAGTAAATTTCCCTGAGAGATTCATCAGATAATTTTACATAAAAACAAAGAAATGTTAAGTTCCCTACGCATCAGGGCAGCACTCTAGACATTTTCTTACATTTAGACTCTCGTAGAAACAAGATGAGGATCTCATCCTATGCCCACGCCTGCCTGTGTCTGTGCAATGATTAGAGACTAATTTTATTCTTCACCTTACTACCTATAGAAAAATACGTAACATTGAAAAGTTGTTTAACATTAACCATGTATGCAAACAGCCTCCATAATACAGGAGAAAATCCCAGTGTGGTTTCTAAGCAAAAAAAAAAATACTGTATTCAAAGTGGTTTACATAGTTATCACATAGCCTATGATCCGTAAATCTATACTTAATACTAGAGAAAAATTCTGAGTGGCTGTTTGAGAAAGAGAAATCCCGCCAATCATTTTTTTCCATTTGAATGATGTTGAGATAAGCGGTGAAAGTATAAGGTGCTTATATTTCCAAGCATTTCAGTAAAATGTACTTCCGCATCATCATCATCATTACAGATTTTTTTCTTAGAATAAGGGTGAGAAAAGTTTTATAAAACAGAATTGCAACTATTTTCGGATTAAATCTAACTTGTATTCACGTTCAATAGGTAGTCAATATAATCAAAATTTATGTATACATAAAATAAACAATAATTAGATGTATTATAAATGTACTTTTGCACATGTATTAAATATTCAATCATCTGCCACCTGATATAAAAGCTATGGACTTGCCAACATTTATAATACACCTCAAAAAGTGGTTAATACATAACGCTTTTTATAATACAAAAGGTAATTTAATAACAAACATACATGTATCATATAACGTACATAAAATTTTTGTTTCTAAATATAATCACCTGCAATATATATCACCTGTAAATTGTATATACACCGTTTATTGGCATTGCAAATATTCTGATTCTGATTCTGAAGAGAGATTCAAACGAGCGTACAGTCCACCTGATAATGTGGAACATAGACATCTACTTTATCGATTAAGAATCAAAATCCAAATGCGTTGTCACCCCTTAGGACTAAGATGGAATGCCTCGTTTCCAGGGAAACGGGTGCCTACTTGTCTACACTATATCATTAAGCTGCTATTTAACGTTGGTATACTAAGAGAGCGCAGTCCCACCCAGTTCGAGCCGACTCATTCTTGCTACAACCATAATATAGCTCCAGCATGACTTTACCACGTATAAATAGTTACAAACTTCAAGTGAGCTTATTAAAACTCCACCTCCCCAAAGGTTACACATAAGTGGTCAATATAGAGTGGAAACTATTTTTTT